TAAACACCTGCACATCATCACCACGAGCACCTGCGTTGAACTTGGCCATATATTTATGATTAGAACGCACTGTGCCACACACATCTGTCTTGTTCACTCGCAAGAAATCACTGAGTAAAGGGCTTGTGTACCAGTTATCGGTATATAATGTATGCCCCTTACCAAGATAAGGTGCCATCATGCTTCTCACTACATCACCCGAGGTACCCAATAACATCCTGGTATCTTTCAATGTTTTACTTCCCGTGTATACAACAATATCGAATACCAGGCCACTGTCACATTCAGAGTACAAGCAGTTTTATACCAAAGCATTTCCTCTTGCTCGGTATATGCTGTTTGAATGACAGTCTACCTATGAACAAAATCAAAGATTCGTCAAGTACAAGATTTTTGGATGGATAAAAGTACATGTTGAACTTTTCTTTCAGATACATAAAAACATTTCTAATCTTGTATAACCTGTCACTTTTGTCAGGCCTGGTTTTGTCAGAGAAGTGCAACATACGTAACAGTAAGCTAAACCTGTTCACTGGGATGATTTCACTGAAGACCGGGGTACAAATTAGCTGATCTGTGGACCAGTATGCTTTTATATTATGCTTATAGACATGAGGCATAAGCATTATTGTTGCAGAAAGCAAATACATTTCTGCAACAGTCGTCTCTTTCCACCGGTGTAGTCTTGACTGTGGTGATATCATCGTATTTGCCATGGTGTACTCAAAATGCTTGTTACTTTCCCTGACAATAGTTTCCATCAAGGGCTGGTCAAAGAATAATTTAAAAAATTCCAGTTCATTGGCAGTGGTTCCAAGGGGACAAGTTGGTAGAATTCCACTTTGAGAGTCATCAAACTGGTGGAGCTTGGGAACAAAATTGGGATTTTGCTGCCAATCCCACATACGGTTTGCTGGTGGATACTGGACATCATAGGCTGGTTGTGCGGGTAGTTGTGGTTGTGGTGGGCTGGTGGCTGACGCTCCGCTTTGTCCTTGAACCGAGGAGTCAGCAGCGTAGGTCCCAGCCTGGGCTGGCGAGTCACGCATGGCCATGGCACTACCATCACCACTACCACCACCTACTGATGCCTGTGGTCTATCCATGCCAAGTGTAGCCACATCATCCTCACTGTCACTGTCTATTCCTGGTGTAGGGCCACGAGATGTACTCCGTCCCCTAGGCACTGCATAGGGAACACTACCCGAGCGCATGCTGTGGCATATATACTGAAGCTTCACTGGTGAATATGTTTCCTCACTATCACTACTCGGATGATCGTCAAGAGCAATAAAATCACAATCCACATCACTATCAATCATCATTACTGAAGTCAGAGGCCTGGCCACGCGAAAATAATAGTTTTCTCTTGCGATGAGGCACAACTGGCCATGACTGAGGAGTGCCCACACCAGAGGTAGAAGGTTGAGGATCGTCAGGGTTTTCTGCACTATTATCGATATCCTGGCCATTTCTTTCGGTCACTAACTGATCAGAGCCAAAGAATTCGTCTTCATTTCCACTTCCATCAGAGTCAGAACTATCAGATAGGAAGAGGAGACTCCCAGTTTTCCTTGGAGTGAGAGCTGCCTTGCGACGAGGCATGGTGAACAAAGGTAACTGAGCCGGCGTTCCCACAATGCTATGCAGGCACCTAGAATTTTTGTTTACGGCGCGCACACACACCACGCAGACCTGTTCTCTCACCTGTAGGCCTACCAGCATTTTCGCGCTAAATTTGACGCCCTTAGAATTTTGGTGTAGATCTACGGTTTGGACCCTGAACGTAAAGCTGTAGATCTACGGGACGGACCCTGAAAGGGTTAAAGCCAGGACATCCAGTTTCTTTTCATTCATAACATCCACAATCATCTCTTTCTTATCATTTGCACAACATCCACACACATTCAGACTTCCCACTTTGACAATTTTCTTCTTCTTATTCTTTTTAGTAATTATTACAGGAAAAAGGGTTACTAGCCCATTGTTCCCGGCATTTTAGTTGACTTTTACAACACGCATGGCTTATGGAGGAAAGATTCTTATTCCACTTCCCCATGGATGTAAATGGAAAAGTAATAAGACCAAGAACTTTTAAGATAAAATCAAAGAAAACTCAGATGAGTGTGTATAAATAAACATGTACATGTATATGTGGTGTGACCTAAGTAGAAGTAGCAAGACGTACCTGTAATCTTGCATATTTATGAGACGGACAAAAGACACCAGCAACCCTACCATCATGTAAAACAATTAGAGGCTTTCGTTTCACACTCACTTGGCAGGACGGTAGTACATCCCTGGGTGGTTGCTGTCTACCAACCTCACAAAATAACTGCCCACAGTCGTCTGTTTCTGTCTCACTAAATAACTGTCCACAGTTGTCTGTCTCACAAAATAACTGTCCACAGTTGTCTGTTTCTGTCTCACTAAATAACTGTCCACAGTCGTCTGCTTCTGTCTCACAAAATAACTCCACAGTTGCCTGTTTCTCACAAAATAACTCCCCAGTCGTTTGTTTCTGTCTCGCAAAATAACTGTCCACAGTCCTCTGTACAACTTGGCACGCTCAACAAGTCTCACATCACTCTCATACTTCTGTATTATTTCCTTCTTCACATCTATGGTGTTTCTCACTTTCTTTACCACAGGGGTACCACTAGCAATTTTCTTTGGGCCTATGGTAGCTTATTTCACAGTCCCACAAGCACTAAACACAATGAAATAATCGTAAAATGTTTGAATGAGAGCGCAGGTTAGTGTTCACTCAAGCATAAACGAAGCTAGACTGGCTCACGGCGCCTACGTGGGGACACGGACAGAGCAGGCTGGCAGACAGGTCCTGTACCCGGCAGTCCGAAAATAGGGGTGCGCTCGATAATAGAGACAAAGTTGGTTCAAAAAAAGGGTTCTATTTTTGAAACATTCGATATGTGATACGTTTGAATTTTGAGGTTCCACTTTATAAAGTTCATAAAATACTGTACTGTGATAGGAATGATAATTAACTTTATCATACCATGATATAGGATCTTTCCAGCATCTGCAAATATTTGTGTAGCTTTTAATCCTTCTGGCAAGCAAAGAATAAAAATATACATAATTCTGTTAGTGGCATTTGCACAGAAGTACTTAGAACCCCCGTATCCACTGATTCGGTATCCACAATTTCAGTGGTCCAGAAATACCTCTTAATTTTGTATAATAATGGTCCCGAACCACAAAGGTAGAGAAGCCTTAGAGAAACTGTGAGGTGCCTCCCATCAGTGAAAAAGTGATAATTTTCCACTTATTGTGCATAATTTATCAATTAAGCTTTATACTAATAGATATTTATAGGACTTTTATATAGGGTTTACTACTATCCGCAGTTTCAGTATCCATGGCAGGTCCTTGGAATGTATTCTCCGTGGATACAGGGTTCCTACTGTATGCACATCTTTTTCACTTACCACTGCTTGCATATTACCTAGGCAGCAGGTTTTTGTTCTAAGGTTTTACCCACTTTTCTCTTTTTTTTTTTTACAATGTTTCTAATGGCTTTTTTTTACAATGTTTCTAATGGCTTCTTTTGCAATGTTTCTAATGGCTTTTTTTTTCCAGCATTTTTACAACCACTTGTGTCAGTGAGATAGGCCAATAGTTCAAAGGGGTTTCTTGTTACCTAGAATATGCCCAAAACTTGTGCTATCATATATATTGGTGAGTTTTAAATAAAAATTCTTTGTGGATTGTAGATAATCAGAAACTTAATATGACTAGCAGGAGAACTGAAAATTGGAAGCTTTATGGTATGTTGAAGATTTAGAAATTCAAGTTTAGTGTTGCCTGGTGGTAAAATTGCACATGATACTTCATTGTTATGTAAACTTGTTTCACTGAATAAAAGCTGCTACTCTATTTACAAAAGTTTTCTATTGTATTAGATTCAGGATGAGGCACTTCTAAGAACATAAGAACTGAAGTGCTCTTTAATAGGCCTATTGGTGGTTGATAGGCAGGTCCTTCTCAAATTCATCCCTGCTTAAATTTTGTCTTGATTTTATCAGAACATAGATAAGGCAAAACATGGACCAGACATTTTTTTCTAAAGAAGAAATAGGTCACATGTGATCTAACAAGACATTCGAAAGCTTAAAATGACAAATTGTGGGGAATTTGAAGGTGCTATGATTTTTAAGTATTGTATATGTTCAGTATATGCTGCACCCGGTTCCCCACTTGAATGTCCAAATACTTAGTGCCTGGTTTAAAGATTAACTATTAACAAGCACTTGCCATTTTTATTTGTCTTTATTTTGTAATGAACCATCAGAAAAATTCCAGTGTGGATAGCATAGTTTACATTTTCTTTTTAATTACATAGTACAATCTTGTCTGGTTCTATTTTCTTTTTCCTTGTGACTGTCCAGTACAGTAGCAGCAGCTTTTTGTGTCTGTATATTTCAGTGTCCTCTACCTGCTTTGACTGTTTTGGATTCACATATATTGTCTAGTGCCATCTTCCATAAACACATCTGAAACCATGACCCTTAAATGGTCCAAACGTATATATACGTTTTTTCAACATCTGAAAGTATGTTTTACATGTGAAAACGTGTAAAAAAACTTTTATCTACATTTTTTTTTTTGTTATATTTGAAAATATGTAAAAAAAAAAAGTAGATCTACTTTTGTAGCACTACGAATTTCAACGTCGATCTGTTTGGACCGTTTAAGGGTTAATATTTGCCATCTCTCATATTTCCACCTTTTGTTATTTTGTCAACTTTAATTCTTTGTATTTTGTCATTTTTTCTTTTGCTAGATTATTGTATAAGATTTGAATTCTCCATTGCTTTTATGTGCCTCCTTGCATGCATTTAAAAGTTTACTATTAAAATTGTGTACTATATTATGAAATTGCATGAGTATTTAAACTGTGTTATTACACGAAGATATTTGTAAAAAAAAATTAAACTAAAACAGCTTATAAATTCAAGAGCTTTCCTACATTGCAGGTGCCTCAGGTGACCCTGAGGCCGGGGACGGTCACCATGTGTGGGATAATGAAGAGGACGGTGTAGTATATTCCTGGTCCTTCTTCCACACTATGTTTGGCTTAGCCACACTATATGTGATGATGACCCTCACTAACTGGTTCACTCCTAACTCTGACCTAACAACACTTTCCAGCAACCTGGCTGCTGTCTGGGTAAAGGTAAGATGCATTTGATGTTACTTCAGCATTATACTTTAAGAATTGCTGATTATTTTTGATAACCAAATTTTGTGCATTTGCCATACCATGCTTTGTTTTGCATTGCATAACAAAGTGGTAATTTGTCACCTACATGTTTAATTTTATTTTCCAAATTTTGTTTTGCTGGCAGTTGAAAATGTTGCAGAGTTTGTATAACATATCTTGTAATGCATTCAAATGTTGCAACAATAACAAAAAAAAAGGCGCAATACCGTGACTGGAATGATACACAAATAACCCGCACATAGAAGAGAGGAGCTTATGGCAACGTTTCGGTCCGGAAGTGGTAGTGGTACCACTTCCTGCCTATAAAATCCCGTCCTGCTCTACTTCTCGTTAGTGTGACTTTGTAAATGGTCCAGGTCAGACCGAAACGTCGTCATAAGCTCTTCTCTTCTATGTGCGGATTATTTGTTGCAACAGTAAATGTAAATTAAGTTGTCAGTTGTGACTGATCCCCGAACATGTTGTATAGGGAAGTGAACTTGCAGACTTTTGCGCCACAGAATGTGTTGATCTCGTGTAGAGATTTGCCCTCTTCTGAGTATTTCATATCCTATTTCAAAGCTTAAGAAATCACTGGCAATGTCACTGGTTCACACTGAGGACTTGTAGGCTAATTAATATTAAACCATAACTAGGAATCTGGCCAACTTCTTACCACAGCTGTTGATTACAGGAAACTGTTGACATGCCTAAGTATTGGTCTCGCATGCCTTGTACATGGATATCTGACACAGATGCTTATCACCCCTCTGTGAGACTTTGTAACCTTTCAAGGGAGGTTCCTTGAAGCTAGTGAGGGACTCTTAATCCAAGTAATTGGACTTGTCTGACTAATCCTTGAATCAAATCTGATTGCCTCACAGGGGTGGAGCACTTAACCCTTAGTGCTTCCTCCATGAATATAATAATAATGAGACAATGTGCATTGCTGACAATAGTATATCACTTTTGCAGGTCTTGGCAAATGGTGTGGGTTTCAAAGATAAAGAATCTAACATAAAGTGTGAGTTGTCACAGTTGCTCTTTGCTGATGACACTGCTTTTGGGAGATTCTGAAGAGAAGTTGCAGAGTTTGATGGATGAGTTTGGTAGGGTATGTAAAAGAAGAAAATTAAAAGTGAATATAGGAAAGAGTAAGGTGATGATGATAAAGAGATTAGGTGACGTAAGATTGGATATCAGATTGGAGGGAAAGAGTATGGAGGAGGTAAATGTTTTCAGATATTTTGGAGTAGATGTGTCAGCAGATAGGTCTATGAAGGATGAGGCGAGTCATAGAATTGATGAGAGGTAAAGGGTGAGTGGTGCACTTAGGAGTTTGTGGAGACAAAGAACTTTGTCTTTGGAAGCAAAAAGGGTACTGTATGAGAGTGTAGTTATACCAACACTCTTATATGGGTGTGAAGCATGGATGGTGAATGTTGCAACAAGGAGAAGGCTGGAAGCAGTGGAGATGTCATGTCTGAGGGCAATGTGTGGGAGGTATGGGATTACCAAAACTATTATCCAGAGGGCTGAGGAGAGGTTGTTGAGGTGGTTTGGACATGTAGAGAGGATGGAACAAAATAGAATGACTTTGAGTGTATAAATCTGTAGTGGAGGGAAGGTGGGGTAGGGGTTGACCTAGGAAAGGTGGGAGGGAGGGGGGTAAAGGAGGTTTTGTGTGCAAGGGGCTTTGACTTCCAGCAAGCATGCATGAGTGTATTTGATAGGCATGGAGACAAAAGGTTTTTAATTCTTGACATGCTGTTGGAGTGTGAGCAAAGTAACATTTATGAAGGGATTCACGAAAACCGGCAGGCCAGACTTCAGTCCTGGAGATAGGAAGTACAGTGTCTGTGCTCTGGAGGAGGGGTGTTAATGTTTCAGTTTTATAACTGTAGTGTAAGCATGCCTCTTGCAAGAAGGTGATGGAGTGAATGATGATGAGTTTTTCTTTTTCGGGCCACCCTGCCTTGGTGGGAATCGGCCGATGTGTTAATAAAAAAAAATTAATAAAATATCACTAATTTATTTTCCCATTTATCAAATGGCCAGACATGTTTAATCTGCCTATTCTTGTTATTGACAGTCTACATTTAATGCAGATTGTTTTTCTTTTTTTTTGGGATGAAATTGGTTTATTACACCACCACTTGATTTCCTCTTAGCACTTTTTCTACCTAGTCTTCCATTCTCCCATTTGGTACTGTAGCTGTATAACCCCTACTGGTTTTGCAATTTTTTTTTGTAAATACAGTAAAACTCTCATATCTGCTGATCCTATATTCACTAATTTAGTTATCCACAGTTTACCTCTGCCCAAAAATATTATAAATATCAATATCAAGTTTATTCTCTATAAAGATGACAATGCAGGGTTTACAGATTTTAGGATATTGTGTGGTTTACATGTTATAAAATACTAATTACAGAGGGGGCCACTGTGACACCTAGCATGGCTAGGCATTTCGGGCAGACTTAGATTAATTCATAACTCTTAATTATTACAGATTATGGAGTAAGTTGGTATTAAGGCTAAGTGACTACATTATAGTTTGTGAGTTTAGCAATGTGAATGCTTTTGTTTTGGTACAATACATAGTTTCTACATTAGAGTATCACAAGCAAACTTATGACTAGTTAAGATTCGTTATTTTAAGATTAAGATTCGTATTTCTGTGTTTATAGTCAAATGGGGAAGTGTGCGAGTGTAAGTGTGAACCACCAGGTGGTGTTCATATACAGTGGAACCTCAAATATCGAACTTTCTTCGGTCCAGAAGGCTGTTCAAGTGCCGCTACCAAACGAATTTATTCTCATATGGAATAATGTAAATTAGATTAGTCCATTTCAGACCCTTAAAAATACACTTATAAAAGCACTTACAAAAATACACTTAAATAATTGGTTGAGTTGGGAGCAGTTTGATTTTTGAGGTTCCACTGTAGTTAGTTGATGGGGTGTATCAGGGAGATAAGATGTTTTCTAAGGAGGTTGCAATTAAGGTTTCGTTTTTGTTTTTTTTCATATACAGTGGACCCTCGCCTAACGATATTAATCCATTCCTGAGAGCTCAAGTTAGGCGAAATTATCGTTAGCCGAATTAATTTTCCCCATAAGAAATAATGGAAATCAAATTAATCCGTTCCTGACACCCCAGAGTATGAAAAAAAAAATTTTACCACATGAAATATTAATTTTAATACACACAAACTGAAGAAGACATGTACAATTACATGACACTTACCTTTATTGAAGATCTGGTGATTGATGGGATGGGAGGAGGGGAGAGTGTGGATGGTGTTAATGTTTAGAAGGGGAATCCCCTTCCATTAGGACTTGAGATGTCAAGTCCTTTTCCGGGGTTACTTCCCTTCTTCTTTTAATGCCACTAGGACCAGCTTGAGAGTCACTGGACCTCTGTCGCACAACATATCTGTCCATAGAGGCCTGTACCTCTCATTCCTTTATGACATTCCTAAAGTGTTTCACAACATTGTCAGTGTAATAGTCACCAGCATAGCTTGCAATAGCTGTGTGAGGGTGATTTTTATCAAAAAAGGTTTGCACTTTAAGCCACATTGCACACATTTCCTTAATCTTTGAAGTAGGCAACTTCCTCAATTTCTCTATCCCCTCCTCCGGAGCAGTTTCCTCAGGTGTGGCCTCTTGCTGTTGAAGATGATCTTGCAGCTCATCAGTGATTAGTTCATCATTGTCCTCCTCCACCAACTCTTCCACATCCTCCCCACTAACCTCCAACCCCAAGGACTTTCCCAATGCCACAATTGATTCCACAACTGGCATAGGCTTCTTAGGGTTAGCCTCAAATCCTACAAAATCCGTTTTGTCTACACATTCTGGCCACAGTTTCTTCCAAGCAGAGTTCAAGGTCCTCTTAGTCACTTCCTCCCAAGCCTTACCTATAATTTTTACACAATTGAGGATGCTAAAGTGATCTCTCCAAAACTCTCTTAGAGTCAATAAAGTTTCTGTGGTCACTACAAAGCACCTTTCAAACATAGCTTTGTGTAGAGTTTTTTGAAGTTTGCAATGACCTGCTGGTCCATGCGCTGCAGGAGAGGAGTGGTATTAGGAGGCAAAAACTTGACCTTAATGAAGCTCATGTCCCCAGAAAGTTGCTCTGCCACGTCTGAAGTATGACCAGGGGCATTGTCTAATACCAGGAGGCACTTAAGGTCCAATTTATTTTCCAGGAGGTAATTTTTCACAGTGGGGGCAAATGCATGATGTAACCAGTCATAGAAAAGGTCTCAAGTGACCCATGCCTTACTGTTTGCCCTCCACATCACACACAAATTAGTCTTGAGGACATTGTTTGTCCTGAACACTCTGGGAGTTTCAGAGTGATACACCAATAAAGGCTTCACTTTGCAATCACCACTAGCATAAGCACACATCAACAGAGTAAGCCTGTCTTTCATAGGATTATGTCCTGGGAGTGCCTTTTCCTCCTGAGTAATGTAGGTCCTGCTTGGCATTTCCTTCCAAAACAGTCCTGTTTCGTCACAATTAAACACTTGTTCAGGTTTCAATTCTTCACTGTCTATGTACTCCTTGAATTCCTTCACATATTTTTCAGCTGCTTTTTGGTCCGAACTGGCAGCCTCACCATGCTTTTTCACACTATGTATGCCACTTCGATTCTTAAATCTCTCAAACCAACCTTTGCTGGCCTTAAATTCACTCACATCACCACTAGTTGCAGGAATTTTTCTAATTAAATCGTCATGCCTTTTCACATATGATCGCTTGAGAGATGCTATCTCCTGCTATCTGTTTTTCGTTTATCCACACCAATAACAGTCTCTCAACATCTTCTATCACTTGCGATCTCTATTTCGAAAACAAAGTTGCACCTTTGGCAAGAACAGCTTCCTTGATTGCCGTTTTCTTGGCCACAATAGTAGCGATGGTTGATTGGGGTTTCGTGTACAACCTGGCCAGCT